CATGAATGACAGTTATTGATGCTACTCAAAATAATGATATTGATAAACACAATGCCTTGTACCAGCCAAAGGAAAATATTAACACCACTGTTTTCAGCTCCATACAAACAGAAGGAAAGACACATTTAAGTACTTACTGGATCAGAAATACTTGGTTTCAGCATACATACATACAAAAAACTCAGCAACAGTACAAAACTGTGACTGTTAATTCTGGTGATAAATATTAGCTCTATTGTGATATGATATGGCCAACAGTGATGGGATGATTAAGACCTGGATGTAAAGGACGACCCCCAGAAGGACAGAGCCAGCAAAGCTGGTTTAGTACGCACCCCCATTTCCCACACCCTGCTGCTGGGCGAGGAAGAGTGGACCTGGGACCAATGTCGACCGCAACCCAGGGCAACACTCATCTTCCACACTGTCCCACATTAGTCAAACTGGACCTCTCAAAGCCCCATCACCAGCACCTTGCGAAATCTTTTTCTGAAGGCAATATTAAACTGGCGAAACATCTCATGCAAGCACTGGCTTTTGTAAAGGTGTATGTCTGGGAGAATTACTTTCACAGAGTAACAGGAGCCAACCACTACCAAAAACTGCACTTCTTCTAAGTATACCCTCATAACCAGTGGTCGGGTTAAATACCTGTGGCTCTCTACCATTTCTTTAAAAATGTCTTTACACACCTAAATAAATGCAGTTGTCTTCCTTTTACAAGCTCTTAAGGTCACTTAAGGCTCCATGGGGGAGTCAGACACCGTGGACTGTCATGATAAAATCTGACTACAACAAAAATGAACATTTTTTACTGATAGGGACAAAATCAAGTGTGAGCTCTACGGTAGGAAATTTTATTACAGCTGAGCTATTTAAACTGGGGTGACAGGCTTAAGTCATGCCACTGTTCTGGAATAGACACAATCAGCTGGGTGAGGAGGCTTGCAGAGAGCTGCTGTGGGAAAAGTCTCCAAACACACTAGCATAGGATCCTTTGAGGAACTGGACATAGTTTTGCAGGCTTCGATTAGTGCTGTCTGACTGCTCCAGGCGATCCTTCAAATCCTGCAGCTGGCTCTGGTACCGCCACTCCATCTAAGCATCAGAAATACATACTTTACAGACCGGCAGATGTTTCTACACAGACAATTTTAGTCAGTAATTCCCAGAAGCCTTTACCTGCTCTTTGCTCCGTCTCAATTGATTAATTTCTGCAGTGGTCCTGCTGAGTTGGTTTTCTAGGTCCAGTATTTTGGACTGGGTGGAACGTTGTTTGTTGACAACACGTTCTTTGGTCTCTGACATCTGATAAACAGATAAACAGATCACACTGGATTTCACTAAAATTTCTTTTATACACTATTTCAATGTTATATGCTCTTATAAACTAATTCAAATAAAAATATAGTCAGTGTATGTACATATGAAAAAATGGGTGTATCATATTTGACCACAGTTAAATTCAGTCATCAATAAAGCATATTTAATACAAGCTAAAAAGGAAACATTTAATAGTCAGAGATGCCAAGATATCTAAGTTGGTGACTGACTCAGAACACTAACCCAGAGCCCAATTCAAAGAAATGAAACCCGTGACTATAATACTGCTGAGGGAGTGGGCATTTAGAGCTAAAACATTTCATTTACAGATACACATACACAGTCCATTGTGTAGATGGAGTGGTTTAAAGGATCAACATATTTGAAGCAGTATCATTAAGTTTGCTTTCTAATGTTAATTAAAATCCAGGTGTTTCCTCTGAAGCTTGCTGGGCTGTATGGTCTGTATGTGCTTTGTATCATCGTGTCTTTTTATTGTGAATTGCTGTCACACTTGGGGTTAATCATATTTTGTGTAAAGTTCTTTATAAGTAAATCACTATGAAAAAGGATCAGACTTGTTGGCGAGCATCATCCAGAGCCTCCTCCAGCCGATGGCTCAATAATGAGCATTCTCTTGTTTTTTCTTTTAGACGGAGCTCATTGCTGTGGACGGTCTCTTCCCGTTTTGCAATAACTGCTAGCAGGTCGCTATTCTGACTGCCGGCCTCCTTTAACTTTCTAGAAGATGGAAAACAAAAAGACAATGACAACAAGGTGCAGTTAGAGTATTTTCAATGAACATATATTTCAAATTGCTTAATTAACAGGCTTTGGGAGCGTATTTAATATTAAATCGATATAATTCAAATATGATTCAGTGGAATTCTGTCAGGACAAGCAAGACAAGCACTGTCAAATTTAAAAATAGACAAATTAAATTGAATTTTCACTTGTTCCATTGGCAGATTTTTTCACTTATTCCAAGCAAAAATATCTTGTATTAAGTGAAAAAAAAATCTGGAAATGGAATAAGTGAAAAATCTCTGTCTAAAAACAAGTTCATATATCTTGCTGAAGTGTTACCCTGTAGCTGATTGTGTCTTATTTTAAGTATGATAAGATTATTTTGACTAGAAATTAAAAAAATATACTTGGTAAGATTTTGAGTTTTTGCAGTGTATTGCCAGTCAGCAGTTCTCCTGCCCAACCAAACACAGCCTGAGCCAGCCAGCTTCCCACTCCTGAGTCAGCGGACAGCTTGCCAGAACTTTTTTGAGGCCTACCGAAAGACCCTAAACTCCTATCACAGCCCAGTTTTTCTATCAGAACTGCAGAAATTGCACCGGATACCCCCTCTGATACTCCTATGCTGCTTCAGGAGACCCCCTGGCCAATCAAGCCTGGGAACTCTCCTTCTTCAGCCAGACGGGACATCATGATTCAATAGCTAAACAAACACCAGTGGATTTATGTTTGCTCAATTCTCACCTCACAAAATACAAATTCAGAATCCTGATATAAAATGTGTTGCTCCTATTTGACAGGGTCACCAAGGTTTACCTCAGCATTTACCCAGCTCACAGGACATTTCTCTGCCTAAAAGCATTTCAGAGACTTGCTGACAACATGATTTTGTGGAGCAGCAAGTGTCTTCTGCCCACTCCTCTTTATGCTATGAAACAACGGCGTGCTGTCAATGGAGGACATGCTTCTTCACTTATGGCCAAACATAGTTCTATATGCTCTCTTCCCAGCCTCATATCATTAGTATTAAGAGGATTAGGAATGGCTGCTTCTGACTTTGTTAACTCCATCATTGTGTTTTATTTTGACCAATTGCAATACAACAAATGTCCCAGTAAGCCGGTTATGGTACCTGGGGTTTGGGTTATTATTTTTTTAACTGAAAAATCTGAATTTCATGAAACCTGCTTTCTAGAACAGGATCAGATACGGGGTTTTATTGGGAAATGACAAGGTGTAAAGACAAGAACAAGAAACAGCTGTTGGACGACATGGTGGTTAATAAATAATTATATATCTAGACAGCATTAAAGTGAAACACCATAAGAGAAGACGGACCTTTCCAAACTTTCTACTCGCTGCTGAAGCTGTGTGTTCTCCTCCAGCAGCACCTTTTTCTTCTGTCTAAGAAGCTCCATCTGGCTGCCTTGGGTCTCCACCTAACACAATAGAAGGCCTTTGAATAATGTATTTAGAAAACATTTTCACTGAATATAAACTGAAGGACATATTAACTGAAGATGCACAGAGATGAAAAGTAGTCTCAGAAAGGAATGGATGTGGCTCAAGAGACAAGGGGGAAAGTTGGTAGTTTGATCCCTGGCTCCTGTTAAAGTTGAAATGCTCTTGAGAGAGATGCTAAAACCCACATTACCCCCAGTTGGGTATGGTAGAATTGTTATTTGTGCCCTTTTCTACAACTTTATTAGTCTGTTAACTATAATTATATTAAAAAGCTATTTTTCCAAACTTTGTAAAGCACCATTGTATCCACACTTCCCAACAAGCATTCCTTTCTGCCCATGTATCATTTATTATCTGTCATTCCCATTTGTTCTTGCTCTTGTACCACTACCATCCAATATTTTTATTTGAATTTTTCATTAACATCATTTCAATATTGTTAATATTTTTAATGCTATCTTTGGCTATAAAGCATAAGACTGTTGTGACCTTCATGCGGAGATCAGTCAGTGCTGTGCTGAGCTCCAAGCTGTGTTTCTCCTGGCTGCACTCCCTATCCTGAGCTTCCTGCAGCTGTAGCTGGGAGCGCTGTAGGGCTTCAGGAAGAGGCTCCAACTCTGCCAGCCGTCCCAGAAGCTCCCTGCGCACTTCATCGATCTCCTTCTCCAGCTCCCCCTGCACCGTCTGAGCCTTCTGCTCTGCTTGAGCCAGCCGAGCACAGTACTCATCTGCCTCAGCCTGGGTTTTCTCCAACTTTGTAGATATGGTTTAACAGGACAACAAGGACAATAACGGTGTCATTTCTGTACAATGACAATGTAAAACTGTTGTATCCCCGTGAGAGTGTGAAATAATGACCTGCATCTTATAGCTGTCTAGGAGGCCCTCATACTGTCTGATGGAAACTTTGACCTGTTGAAGCTCTAACTGAGACACGGACAGCTTCTCCTCCACTGCAGACGCTGTAGCCTGAGAGAAACAGAACTTTTATTAAATAAAAATGACAGTTCATACTCCTAATGCAATATAAGTCAACCTAAAGCTATTAGAATCAGTAATGGAAAGATTACATCCACGCCGCAAAAGCATAACAGATGTGTCGAAATTCTGATCAGGGCATGGTTTGATTAACATTTAGCAAATCTGTTATCGTTAATAAGTGACTTTGGCTGTTTCACCTTCAGGGATTGGTTCTCCAGTTTGGCAGCAGTACTCTCTGCAGTGATTTCACGGAGACGATCCAGCAGTGCTTCTTTCTCTGCTCTGCCTTTATCCTTAGTAGTATGAAGCTGCTCAGTCAGCTCTGCTATACGGCTGT